TGTTTGCATTTTGGTTTTACAAACCCCAGGAGATTCCTCCAAAAGTATCCCACAGTCTGGAGTTTGATGATTATAAATTCATCATGGAATTCAACATTCTTCTCTTCAGTTACACATTGGCGGCTGCATGCAGAGGCTTATTGGGCTCAGGCACATCTCTGACCAGGATGTGTCAGGGGCATTGTGTTCTTTTGCCAGGAGTTTCATACTCTTTGGTTCTTGTCTTTTTGTGATGTTGATAGCCACTGGCATGAGATGAACACGGATGTGCGTTGCAAAGTGGAGGCACTCAAATTCTGTCTTTTTCATTTATTACTTGAATTACACCATAAAGAGATGTTTTCTCCCTCACTAAATATTTCCTTGTGCAGCTTACTGTTCATAAAGCACTGCTGGATAAATGTTTTATTCTTTCTTTTTACTTCACTGACTTTTGAGGTTATTAATTTATTCCCCACTATTATTCAAATATAGCCATTTACTTTATAGTGTTATATATTCATGCATCTGTGTTCATTTAGTGGTTTCTAAGATAGTCCATCAGCCCCAGGTCTGAGATCAGTCATCTATAAAACGATCCTTGTTTGTTGTTTTAGTAATAAAATATTTCAAACCCAAATCCAGGCACTAAACATGCTCAACCCTACTGAATTGATTTTCATTACCCTTCTATTTTCTGTGAGCAGAGCCAAGAAAGGACAGAGGAAATGACAGAATTAACTAGCATAAAATTAATAATTTGCTTTTTCACATATAGGACAAGCAGAGGTTTCATAATAAACTATGAATCTTAGAGATAGTGAAAATTATTTTGTTCTTCCTATTTCTTTTATGCCTTCCTTCTAGAGTCACTTGGTCTCTGTCATCAGATGTGGTTCTCACCTACGCTGCTTTCTCCCTTTCAATGCTCATTAACTTTAGCTATGAAAGCAACAATACATTTATGTCCACCATTAGTTCTTATATAAGTGTCTCTCTAGGAAATTGGCTGATCAAAAGCTGATTCTCTAATAAAGCCCTTAAAAAACTAAAAAAGAAAAAAAAATGTCACTGCCAAATGTTATAATATCTGTATTTTCCTCGATGTGACATCCTAGGCCCTGGGCTTCTTTCTTTAAAGTGTTTGCTGCTACATTATCAAATGATGTTGTTGGAAAAACTAATAAGAATCTAGTTTCCTTGAAGATAGATAGATAGATAGATAGATAGATAGATAGATAGATAGATAGATAGATAGATAGATAGATGATAAACAGATCATAGTTAGATCATAGATAGATCATAGACAGATGATAGACAGATAGATGATAGGTAGAAAGATAGATAGAATAGTTTTTGCTGATATACCTTCCTTCAATTAATTTCTTTAAAATGCAATAATTTTTACAAGTATACCACTTGATTTTGTTCATTTGAAATCAATGTTCCGAGATAATGATTGGGTCTTTTATTTCTGATTTTTAGTGTTTGTCCTTTTATCTCAAATTCTTTTTATATACTGTAATTTGAGAGAACACTATTTATTCTATCTTCTATTAATCTTAAGGTACTACTTATGTTTATTCAGTCCTATCCACGTTCCTCCTAGTTTCAGCTTCATTTTAAAAATATTTTCCTTTTATTTCTAACCCTTACTTGAGTTTTCTCACCTCATTACTGGGCTTTTCTAATATAATTTATAATGTTCTTTAATACTTTATTTCATTTTTAAAAATGTTTTCTAGCTTATTTTGCAATAAGTACATTATTTGGGCTTTTTGTGTTATTTGAACACATTAAAAATTATTTTGTAGGGGGCTGGAGAGATAGCTCAGTAAAATAAGTGCTTCCCTGGCAAGCACAAGGGTCTGAGTTCAATCCCCGCTTCTACCAAAAAGAAAAAAAAAAGTTTTAAAAATTATTTTATTATTATAAGGATATTAATTTATTCTTTATTCTCTTTTTTTTAGTGGCTACTTTGTAGGAAAATGGATGCACTTTGAGACCGTAATATCAAGTGACATAAATCAGACACACAAGCTTAAACAGCACACGGTCCATCCATGTGAGAAGCTGAAGGGGTAAAAGAAGAGCACGGGGGAGGACAGACCTTGGGAAGTGGGAGGAACATGCTCGGGTGGAAGGGGGAGAGGGACAGGAAAAGAAAGACAACAAAGCACAGCCTGTGTAAATGAGGAGGGGAAGGGCAAAGGAAGGGAGGGGGATGGGAACAGTAGAACAGATACGTGTTATATACATGCACAAATTCCATATGATGAATGTGATTAATATGTATAACAAATATGCACTCATAAAAATGAATGGGGTTAAAATAGTTACTCTGTATGACATTTGAAGTCAGTACGCTTCCCTTGCTCATTTTACATTCAGGTAGCTTTCTGCTTTCACCCATTCCTTTCCTGTCCCCTGAGGATCACAGTGACAGACATCTTTCTGAGATTTCCTGGTGCTATTTTCCTCCTGGCTTTCCTCTGGACTTTTTCTTTTGCTCCTGGGGCTGATGGGGTCTCCCCTGTGGTCCACTCTGTGACAGCTGCCTCCACTTCCCTGTACCTTTATTTATTCAGATACCAACAGCCTGAAGGTCTTGTGGTTATTAGAGATATGTTCTCACTCACTCTTATCTTCAGGTTTGTGGGAAAGGCTCTGTCCTTATTTTCACTGTAAATCTTTTCCACAGGCTTTGCTTTTGTTATCCAGCAAGCTGGTATTTCTATAAAAGAGTTCAACAAATCTTCAAATGATTCCCATACTCCTTTTCTCCCAAAGCTAAAACATCATTTCATGGAGTTGGTGCTAACCCTAGTCTAACCATGTGTCCTCAGGATATAGCAGCATAAGTGCCAAATGAACATTTTGCCTGTCTTCATGAATCCTGCATTCCAATAGTCAACAGTGACAAGAAGCGGTAAAATTACAATAACCTCCATAAGACACACTGACCATTATGAAGCATAAACAAATGAAATCTATTTTACATTTACCTCTCCTTGTTGTGAAATACATGTTAAGGCCAAAGATTTAGAGAATTCCCTGATTTCTCTTCAGTGTAACCAAATCATTTACACACAGGAACTCTGGTACGGAGTACTAACTATTAATTATTTTTCTGATTTTGTTAGCCATTGAATCAGTTATGCTGTATATATTTTGTACCTGTCAGTAATAATATGAGGGCCAGCAAGATAGCTCAGGGGACTGAAGCTCCTGTTTAGGCAGGAGCAGGGACTGAGGTTTGATTCCCAACCTGCTGTATCGGCCTGGCTCCCCGGGTGCGCTGAGATGGAGACCGAGACTGAGACTGGGCGTGGTGGCGTGCACCTGTAATCCCAGAGCTTGGGAGGCTGAAAACAGGAGGATCAATACAAGTCTGATCTCTGTAGTGAGACCCTGTAGATCCTGTACTAAATTAAAACATCCCAAAGTTAAAACATCATTTCAGGGAGTTGGTGCTAACCCTAGTCTAACCCTGTGTCCTCAGGATACAGCAGCGTAGGTGCCAAGATGAACATTTGGTACAGGGTCTCTCTCTGCAGCTCAGACTCATAGTGATCCTCCTGTTTCAGCCTCCCCAGCACCAGGATTACAGGCGTGCACCACCACACCAATCTTTGGTGGCCTGCATGGCACAAGACCTGCACAAAATGCAACACCCACAGTAGAACCATGCACTAGCCAGGCAGGTACTTAGACCACTAGGCTCTCTCTCTGGCCTCAGAAATAGTATGAATTTAATGTAAAGAAAATTGATCTTGTTTTATAAGTCAGGGAGATATTCATTTAGTTAACAAATATGTTTGTAGTACTTACTATATCAAATACCTTTTAAAAGTATTTAACATATATTGGCTTATGTTAATATTAACTTATATTCGAATTTTCATTACTAATGCATCCAGTCATTCAATTATTCAAGAACTATGTATATAAAAGTACTGCATTTTTTAATAAGCAAAGGGAACAGGAGACCTGTAATTGAGCAAGATGGACAAGATTTCTGATCTCATGATGCTGATACTCTGAACCAGCTGTATAAGAACATGCAAAGCAAATAGGCATGAACACATGAAAGCAGAAAAACTATCCAATTGTAATAAGTCCATGAAAAACTTAAAATGATGGCATAAAGAGGGACAGAAGGAAGCGTGTTTAGGTAGGGTGGCTTGTGTGGCTGAGACAGTGCTAGGAGTACAGTTTCCCTGGCTGATGCAGGATTTTGTATTTTGGACATCCATTATCACTTTGTCTTCTTCATTATTTCTTCTGAGTCTTGATGGTCATATTTTTGCCTTTGCCTTTTATAGCCCTAAAATTCAATAATTAGCTCTCTATGTCTTCTTATTGACCTTGTTCTTCCAAGCCCCTAAATCCACTTAGCTTTCCTAGGTTCAATCAATAAAAAACAATTTATCACTCCTAATGGTTCACTGACAGTCGCCCTAGTCAAAACGAAGGTTTACCAGCTTATATTCTAATGAAAACTATTATCATTTCCAAGTTTAAACTAACCATGTTATAATTTTAATTACTACTTCCTTTTCCCAAGAAAATTAAGGCCTACAACTTATTTATTTAAACATCATATCCCACATGGTTCTTCTCTCGTATTTTCTGACTCGCCAGTATAGCTATAATATCTATTTTGACTAAAAGGACAAATATACCCTTTTACTCTCTGCCTCTAATTAGTGTTTACAAAGAGGCACATGGTTATTGAAAATTTCCTTTTATTTCAAACTCCAAATGAGCTCAGGCATGTAGCAATGGAGAAAGAACAGCAAATAAATCAAATGAAGGAACTATTCAATGAAAATACATATTGTTTTCCATTATAAGGTGACTGTGATATAAGGATATATCTGCTTAGTTATTTTGGGTAAAAATGAGTTCAAAAAGAACTCAGGTTATTTGTACTAGTCCATTCCTGCTGGAACATTATCAAGTGGAGCTGGAGGTAGACTT